GGTTCAGCAATGCAAACTCCGCTAAAACAATGCCAGAGCTAACAGCCAACCCATAGTGTAGCAGGCCAGACTTCAAGAGTGTGCTCACTTGGATGCAGGTGCTCCAGCTGGCTTCATGAAGTCATTACTAACACAGTAACACTTAGACCAACAGTCCCGTCCAGAACTACAACCAGCTCAGGCTTCCCAGGGCCAGTACAGAGCAAGATTTAACAAAGCTCTACAAACCGTAACCAATTCTGTGAAATTAATGTGTCTTGTAACATGCATACTTCCAAAATTCTTCCATTGTTCTGGATAACGAGAATTGTATTTCAGTGGCAGCTTTCTTTTAGCTATTCCAAGTAATACGAAGGCTTCCACTGGCTGATGTTTCTTCTAGGCCCAGCCTAATCTCATAGAAGGGACTACCTGTGACACAGTACATTTAATGAGATGTTCTGGATTCACTAAATGCAAACTCTTGCTATTACAGGCAATCATGTCACAATTTCCTTTTAAAAAAAACAGATGAAATTCCACCTCAAAGCTAGTTTTGCGTTCTGCCCTTTCTATTTTTGGTGGGGAAGCTGTTGCACAACCTCTCTACTCAGGTATTTGAAAATTGTATTTTATATTTTAAGTTTCTATTCATGATCAGTCTGTAGTTATTACTTCTTCTGTTAAGTGTCCATTAGTTTAAAACAGTTTTTCTTCTCCTAGTTGTCATTCTGGAGTACTTTTAAAAAGCAATTTTGTCCATTCTCTACATTCTGTTTTACTTTCAGTTTCTATTCTACAGACCAGTTTGGTTTGTTTTTTTTTTTGTTTTTTTTTTTTTTACACTATGTGCATAAAATTACCTCTTCTATTTGAGCAAACTGTTTAGAAGTTAAAATTTTGACTATGATTTCAATAAGCAGAAAGAGGCAATTTTCCTCTTCTTTTATAAATAAAGCTAGCAAGGGACCAACTGAAGTTACTGGCACTGACAAGAAAAATGTGGTTTCACATTTTTAAAGGTACTTAATCATGTACAACAAACCAAGATTTTTCAGAGTACTCCAGTAGTAGAGGTGCCCAACTCAAAAATCAACAGGACTTAGTCAGCTGTCTTCAGTAATACCTGTGAAGCAGCAGCGCAGTCACAGCCATAGCATCCTAAGTGTGCTACAGGCAAGGTTTGAAGGGAGAACTATTATCGTTTTGAGGCCAGCTGATATACTGAAACCCCCCAAAACAGACAGGAAATTTGGAACATTTCAGGTCTGAAACAGAAAGTGAACTTGAATCCAGAAATTGTTCATGTCTGGAAACAACTAATCTGTATTTTCATTGACCTTAATGGAAATCCTTCTATGAACATCTCAGTATCATCTACTTAATATACCATTTCATTTCACATGTTCTGCCTACAGATAACATCAATACTTTTTGTATGTAGAATCCAGTTTTATTTAAGTGCAGTAATAAAAATCAACATATTTAAAAAAATCATGTACCTATAAATATATCCATAAAAATAGATATGCCAGTGGCATACCCCTCTTGGTCAGCACTGAGTTATCATAAGGGCTATGTCACATCAATATAAACATATTTAACAATTATACCAACCAATAAAAATCTTCCTTCAGGAAAATTGCTAACTGGTAGAAACACAAAACAATACTAAAACATTGCTTTCAAATTTTGCTTCTTTCAAAGTTATCAGAACTTAAGTTTTGAACAGTTTTGACTTTAGAATGATCCTTTTCTTCTAACGCATTTTATGTTACACTAGCGCTTTCCAAATTATTCATAGGCTGATTTTTCTGATCTACTTCTTCAGTACGTGGAGCTGCCAGATTTTCCTTTTGTCAATCTCAATAGCTTAAGGTTTCAGATTTTTTGCCTTAAGTAGAAAATGTTATTCACTTTGTATGTTACACATACATCTGCTCACTTTGTGCAGAAAGTCACATTTCAAAGGTGATACAATGGCAAGCATCTGCACTCATTAGGAGAAGAATCAGTCCTTCTCCTTCACGGACAGACCCAAGCTCCCAAACAAAGCACACTGGGCTCTGCGGGACTGACAAAACATCTGCTTATGATGTTTAAACCAATGGTTTTGCTTTACTTACACTTTTCTCTTCCACATTCCAAAACACAACAGCCCCTTCCCTGTGAATTCAAGGGAAAACTGAGATGTAATGATACTCCTTTAAATGTATTTCAATGCAATACTCAAATTGTACAGTAGCAATTTTTGTCATCCTAAGTCAAGAAACTTAATACTATCTTCACAAAAACTATGTAATAGTTGGGTTTTAACCATACTTTAATGAAAAAAAGCATAAGATGATAAGTATTTAACCATTTAAATAATTCTGATTTTTTTAAAATAATTCTGATTAGACAGCTATTCCTTGAGCAAGCTGCACTACTACTACTTTCACACCATTACTATTAATAAAATAATGGTTTGGGGATGATTTATAACTTACCTGAAGAAAAAAATCATGCCAGGATCATCTTCCTTTGCACATTTCTCAGTACCAATCACCAAAACATTTGCAGCATCTAGTTTGAAATAAATGAAAAAAATAAAGAATTAGTCAAACTTCTAAGCATGATAGCTGTAAGCACTTAATTCCAGTTTAACAGATACATACTAACACATCAGTCAGCCCCCTATTTTATTTTTCTGATGGAAATGCTTGCCAGGAAACAATTACAATATCAAGCTACATTGTAGTGTCACACTCTAGACAGACTCAGCCACTATGTTAAACTTCACTGGAATCTTTAGTTAATGAAATGTAACAGTTTTGAAGAACACAAGACTTAAGGGAAAACTGATGCAGGGCATAGTAAATGAAGTAGACACTCAACATAAGGGAACTATGTAAGTTTGCCCACAGCTACAGAGAAATTAACATTCAAATCTGCTTGCCCAGAAGATCTCTCTCTTTTCTATACAGTAAGGGCCTAATGCGCACTCAAATTGTGCTGACTTTGTTTTGACAGTCAAACTTGAAAGAGCACACCCACAAGACAGGAAAGTTTACATCTGCATTCTCCTTTGGATCGGAAGCATGGTTTTGAAACAAATCTTCCAGCCACCCTCATTTACCATGCTTCTGATGCGCACTGCAGAACAGTGTCAGCGAACGCAAACTGGATGCTTTTTTGCATTAAACTGAACTGAGCGAGGACCTCCAAAAATGCACCTGTGGTACTCCAACCTCTAACAGCCATTTGTTATAAAGGACCAGACTTGAGCTAGAGTAAGTAGAATGCCCCAAAACTTACAAAGTGTGAATCCTGGCTTCTCAAAACAGAGTTTAGTTTTTTCCCTACAGGTCTGCTCCACTGTACCACTTGCTAATGTAGATAAAGTTTTAGAAGTCCTGATGTGCTTTTGACAAAAGATAAAAGCCCACAATACTTTCCAGCATGACTCATTTTGTTACACAACTAGCGCAAGCTGGACCAGCAAAACCCCTACCTCTGTTATAAAGCGAGACTCTACAAAGAGCCTAAGCCATAAAAAGTTCAATCCCTTTGCAGAAAGATCACAAGTCAAGTGACAAGGCATTAAACTCAGCCTGTGAACAAATTTTACTCTCTGCTTTACTGCTCAAGCCACAGAAGCCAGGTAGATTCAGGCAGCAGAGACATGACCAAGTATCAAATACAGTTTTGCTAATACCTGAATTGAGATCACACAGATGGTCTGCACAAACTCTTTAAAGACTTTTCTTTCACTTGCTGTTCCAGTTCAGAAACATGATTTGATGAATCACTAGAGCAAGGTTTTGTTGTGAAGGTTGAGTTCACCATGGAAGAAACATTTGTCTGCATTTTCTTTCACCTTTTCTAGTATCACCTTTATCTTTATTTATTCACTCCATCCAAAGCATACACAATTGAAGAGAATTTGGTCCACTGTAAGAGAATCTGCCTCTAAAATGTTTTTAAAGAGGTCAAAACCAAGAACAATGCATAGGAAGAACACTACAAAGCAACAAGACCACACAGTAATTGCCAATTTAGATTTCTATGCGCTAATACTTTTTGATTTTCCAAGATTCAATGTTTGAGTTGGTAATGAACCACTGCTATATGCACAAGCCAACCAACACAAAGCATCAGATCCACTAGCACAATCCAACACCCTTTCATTATTACTTCCTCCAAACTTTGGATAAACAGAATATCGATTGTGAATAGTCAAAAACACACCATGAAAAAAATGAAAGAACTAGCAAAAACCACACTTCCAGGGTAAAATACTAGCAACAGCAACATTTGCCTTACAATAATTCACAGTCATGATGGGGATTGTACAAAGTTTCTAACCTGAAGCTGTGAAACCAGTATTGTTTTTAATACAAAAACTACAAAGGAACGTGAAGCCTATCCTCTACAGCACGTTGTCCTTCCATGTTCATCTTTCTAAGCAAGATGATCACAAGTAAATCTTGTGTTTAGAAGACACTCACTGGAGTATTATTATTGCACTTGGATTATTAAGTGTTTGAGAGACAGCCAGATATTTGATAACCTCTACTGAAATGCTTATAAACACTATCTGTTATTCTCTTAGCTTCATAGAATCTGTTCATTCAAAGGAAAAAAAAAAAAAAGCATTCTACTGCTAACATATGATAATCACAGCTGTTCTAGGGCATAAGGTTCCTTCAGCTATAAAAAGCTCCATTTGTTTTTCTCTTACAGTACACTTCAGCTATTTCCAGGCCATGCTTCCCAAGTCTTCAGAGATACTCTGCATGAAAACCAGAACCAATTATTTTGCTGGAGCCTAGCTAAGTGAAGCATTTAACAGTTGCTAGGACATATTTCGCACAATAAAAAAAAAGTATCAACTGCATTCATTTAGTAGAACTAAGCATTTATGCATGTCTCTTTTTCATGTTTCTTAGTCAGCAAGATTCTCTCTTGCATGCCTTCTTCTCCAACCCTCAGTGATTTACATTAATAGACATGTGGGTATGGAAAGAAGATGCAACACTTGAAATTACAAAATTACTTTGACAGGTGAAGCAGTACAGTATCACATTACTGAAATATTAATTCAAATAAAGAAAACTTTCATCTTTTTTTTCAGTTAGCAAATTTCTTTGTATCAGAAAATTTCAAAATTTGTTTTTCCTGCATGCATCTAATTTTTCAATACTTTTAGTGTAACTGTAATTTGGGGGAAAATTATAATAGGATAACAGCAAGTACTGGTCACACTGCTATTCTGAAAGATTCAGTTGCCTCTTTTTTTAAAGCAAATGGAATTTTTCACCAAAGCAATAGTTTTATAGGCAGTATGATACAATCCAGAATATTAACAGAATAAGAATACAAAAGCTATAAAAATTATATACACCTCACCCATATTTAATTTCCCAAGGTATAACATTGCTTTTAATATGTTTCAAAAATCTACCTCTAGGCAAACTTGTTATTTCAACATATCCATGTGAAGTCAGGTCATGACACAGATTACCAAGATGATATTCATCTGCTGTTGCAAAGGCTGTGCACTGCATCAGATTCTGTGCCAAAGGAATAAAGATTTGAGTTAGGGAAAGGCTGAAGCAAGATGTTCATAAGACAACTGTTTGCCTCAAATTTATAATGAGAGTGACATGTTTCATTTATTCACTCTTTTCTGTGATATCATTGCCATGCTGCCCACCTGGTGTACAAATAGTCCTTAGATTACTTGCTCCCTGTGAAGTGGGAAAGCAAATCACACACTGAGATCAAAATCAGTGACGTAACTTGCACCATAAAAGCTTTGTGACAGTCACAAAGTGAACCCATCTTCCTGAGTGACAATTGAGCGTTGTAAAAGTAGAGCTACACTTGCTACTGCTCTCCCATGCTACATGTTATTTCATACTCTGCCTGACCACCAAAATCAAAAGGAACACACCCTCAATATCAGCTTTAAGGTCTATATTTTAAATAGAAATGGAGTTCAACTATCTCAGCCTTGGTATCAAGCAGAAGCTCCTACTGTAAACAGCTGCTTTTTCCAAGCACAAAGCTCACTGCTCAGGTAACCCCCAAGGTATGAGCCACTGCAGCTCAGAAAGTCACAGATCTACCAGGCCAGTTGCAGGTGCTGCAGATCTACAGTGTTCCCCTGAGCTGTACCTTGCACTAACAGCATGGTCTCAGCTGAAACCACAGCCAAACAGTACACAACAGCCAGGTTTTGTCTCCATATTCCAGAGCTGTAAATAACTAAAACAACATACTGAAACAAATGATGGGGAAAAATGATACTGACTTGCAAAGACTGATTCATACATGGCAAAGAAGTCAGAAAGTCCTCTGTGTAAAGATTTTCTTGATTAACCAAACAAGTCACAATAAACAATAAACTGATTTACCAATTCTACTGCTCATTTTAAGTGGATTTCTTTGTTCTGATACCATGTATGTCCCATGATAATGCTTTCCATTACAATGTAATATAAGGTATCTAGAAAGCAATGTGCCTCGTTGTGGATCAGTCACTTCCCAGCTTTTTGTAACTAATACAAATGGGGATGTAACTAACAACAAATGAACAAAAGAACTGTACTCATCTGCAAGCACTTATACCCACAATACACTTCAACTTAAAATCCAAACAATATTCTTGCAGCACTCATACTCATCAACCAGCAAGGCTTAAAAAGGTGTTATATGCCTTGGAGGGCCTGTTACCAGCCATTAGAACTACGGCCACACACTTAAACCTTCTTTTCTTTTTTAATGTTAACATTCTATTATCATTTCCAAGGCTTTCCTTACACATAATCTTAATTCAGTGATCATTAACAGAAAACAAAGTTTAAAAGTAATTACCAATATTCAAAGTTGGGGCTATTAAGCCTGGAGAAGGCTCCCAGGAGACTTTACTGGGTCCTTCCAGTACCTGAAGGGGGCCTACAGGAAAGCTGGAGAGACTTTCTACTAGGGCAGGTAGTTATAGGACGAGGAGGGGTGGTTTTAAACTGAAAGAGGGTAGATTTGGATTGGATATTAGGAATAAATTCTCTACTGTGAAGTTGGTGAGACACTGGCACAGGTTGCCCAGAGAAGCTGTGGATGCCCCCTCCCTGGAAGTGTTCAAGGCCAGGTTGGATGGGGCGTTGAGCAACCTGGGCTAGTGGGAGGTGTCCCTGGCCATGGCAGGGGGGTTGGAAGTGGATGATCTTTATGGTCCCTTCCAATCCAAACCATTCTATGATTCTTGACTGGGCTATGAGGCTGAGTTACCAGAGGAACGGAATTGCGTTTTCAGTTCCCTTGCTGCAGTGCCTTTGCGAAGTTGCATTATCACAACTTCATCTGCATAAATCCATGCTCAATCTCTAAACTGCCACAGCAAATTATCTATTCCAGATTCTTTCAGAAAGCTCTGGTTACTAGAAGTATATGTGTTCTGCCATGAAACTCTTCTCTCCAGAGTTATGGGAGCAAACGCTTACCTTCTAGCTAGTATATAATCTAAAAATCTCTGTCCTGCTCAGTGCTTTCCACAGTTTATTACTTGTGCTACTGCTCATTTCAAGGCAGATGCACTACAGAACAGACTTCCTGTCTTACTGCTACAATTTTAGTTTCAACATAAAGGCTTTAAACTTAGTTAGAACAAGAAGTTTCCTGGTAAGACTGTGTGCCTGAAATAGTATTTTGGATATGCGCTAGTGGGGTGGTTTTTTGTTTGTTTTTTAATAACATAGTGTTTCACTTAAATTTTTGTCAAAGCTCCCATGGTAGTTGCTGGACATATAGCCAAAAAGTCTATACTTTCTAATCTTAAAATAGACATGTTAACTGACCAAGCAACCTTAATCCCATGCTTTCTGCTATGTCACTTTCACCTGCAAACTTAAAAAAAAAACCACCCAGAATACAAGATCTGTACTGCAGCTACAAACAAACTCCACCTACTCATCACCTTCCTCCTTTCTGCCCACAACTGGGGTTTCATTGAGATTCTATTCAGAGCCCCACAACAGCCGTCCTTAGGAGGAGCCATCCAAAGTACCTCAACAACTCACCTTCCATATCATCATGCCCCCAACAACTGCACAGGCTCATGGAACTATAATTCTCATCAGCCAATCTCTTCCATTTTAAGCACCCAAAAATTTTCCAAAAGAAAGACTGTAGTATGAACTTAAAGCCTCACATCACCATAGAAATCAGTCTTTATCTTAAGAATAGTAAATACTGCACCTATATTTGATTTTCAAGCTTTTTCTAGCCTACATGGCTATAGCATGAAAAATTAGCTCAAGAGGCTTTTCACGCTGCCAAACCGTAAGAGATTAACTAAACTGAGTGATGGTACTACTTACTGATGGCCTGACTAAACCAGTTAACTGCTTTCAAGTAATTCCACCTATCCTGAAAAACTGGTCTCACCACCATTTATCATTGCTGGTGCTCAGCACTCTGCCTGTAAACAACACACGTAGACCAGTGCTGGAGAGGGGCGGGAAGGACCTCATTCATGGACTACCCTGCTAAAGAACGGTGTCAACTATCAGGCCCTCCCAGACAGAAAACCAGAATTCATCTGACAGCCTTAGGAGCGGGCTCAGAGCTGGTGTCTCAAGGGGCAGACTGGGCAGGAGAAGACACAGGAGCCTGTCCCTAGTGAACTGCTCTGGCAACAGGGCCCGAGTTACTGGACGGTTCTTGGTGACCTCCACACACACACACAAAGGCTAAATCAGCTTTTTTGCGACACAAGAATTGAGAGGTAACAAATGGCACGCTGACAAAAACCTCAAAGGATTTTCCATTTGCACTACTTCTATTAGTCATCTTGCAGAAATCAGGCACATCTTTAAGTTATTTCTCACTACTATGTATCTACAAGGAAATACACAAACAGGTAAAAAAAAAAGATTATTCCAAAATAGTCAAACTGCAGTCAAGGTGATGGCCTGTCCATACCCCTGTAGATGGGGCCATGTATCTGACAAAACCACATGGGGCTTATTCAAAAATAGCAAAAGGTTCTGCTAGGGCTAAGTTTATGTGATTTCTGGCACAGCACTTTGCCATGTGGAAGATTCCTCAGAAAGGATATTACTGTTTCAGTATATCAGGAAGGATTTTCTCCATTTCTTCACAACAGAAGAGAGGAAAAATAGGAATGCATAGTACTTGCATAGGTGCATATGAAAACATCAAACGAATAAACTGTTTGCATTCTATGCTACCATTTCAAAAGCCTCAAGAATCTAAAAAACTTGTCACGTCAATTCACCCAGCAACAAAAAGAAGCAACCCCTGAATATTATGTGATAGCATACATAACAAGCTTGAAACATTACATGGTATTTCAGGAGCAATATTCTTCACTTTCTTTTTTCAAAGAAATGGGAAAATTCAAGTGGGAACTAAGTTGTCTATAATGGAATCTTTATGATACATTAAATCATACTTCAGCTCATTGTACAAAAGTATGAAACAGAAGCTAGATGAGGCTAGCATTAAAACTTCAGTTTCTGTGCTCACATTCAGCAGATCATAATAGACATATTATGATAACAGACATATTTTGCAATGTGGAAGGTATTTCTGAAAGCACAATACTTGTTTCAGTCTTATCTATGATACTATTTTATTAACAATATCCTGGGACTGAGTTGTTGTAGCCTGAAAATAACAATAACACTTCTGACACCAAGATTTTCTTTGGAGATCTTATGCTGAAGTATGCTTAAGGTCTGCCCTGGCTACTGTTGAGGCTTGCAAAGAGCTATCTTAAAGAGAAACAGCCACAAGCATGCACTGTTCCACTTCATTGTATCTCATTTTATCCAAACCAGTTTGCTGCTGCTGTTACTCTGTAGATCTAGCAGTCTGGAAACCAAGGTGCTATTTGTACACATGCAATAATCTCCAAGTAACACAGGCTAAGCCTGCACCTCAGTTTCCCATCTGAAACTCAGTCTGAAAATAAACTTTATACTGTTTACTTTCATCTTTATTTCTGTTTGAGTGAAGCCTTAAATCTGTGTAGATTTGGACAAGGAAGGATACCTAGGGGAAGTTAAATTATTCTGAAAGCTAGAATTTGTTTCTCAATATTAAATGTGATTTGAGAGCTCCAATTAAAATTATTTTTAATTGATTTTGTCTCTCTGCTTTAATAACCACTGATCTTCCTTTCACTTTTGTTTATACATTGCTAGTAAATCTCCATTTTATCTTCAAAATACCAGACACACTAGTAAAGCTTGTTTCTATTTGCAGATTTCCAAAACCAGGGTAAATAACAAAATCCTCCTCATCACACAAATATGGTAATTTCATTAAAAGGCTAATATAAGCTGAAATTAAACCTAAATTAAATTGATGAACGTCCCTTAATACTGACTATGAATTTTATACTTTACCTCCATATCTGACAGTAGTGGCTGGTTAGTTCTGGATGGCTGCTTGGTCCTTGGTGCCTTTGGTGGCCTCTTAACCGGCTGGTTACTGTGTTTTGGAATAATTTTACCAGCTGATACAACAGAGTAAAATCTTGGTGATATATTCCAAAGCTTTTTAATACGCTCTGTATTGAGTCTGTAGTTTTCCATCATCGCCACACCAAAACGTTTCCAGGATGGAAAAAAACCCTCTCCACTCTGACAGCAAACATTTTTTCCCAAAGACAATACATTTCCATGGAGTAACTGCCAATTCTTGACTTTCACACACTGACTTGTCGAAAAAGGCGAAGCAGTTTTGAGAGCATACAAATTCCAAGACTTGGCTGTTTTGTGAGCTGTTCTGTCAACTTCATTATCCAGCTTTAATAGCAGGCGTCCAGTTTTATTAAAACTTTGGCATGTTGTTAAAGTGCGGAAATATCTAGTCTGAAGGTGCAGAAGTTTCAGTCTCATTGCTTCCCTCAGAACTGTATTCAAAACAAATAAACAGAATTATCCATCAACCCTTTGGAAAGAAATAATATTATTTTCCCCTTATCTAAAAGGTGACCCATACTCCTTTTGCATCTGTTTGTACTTCTAAAGACTGGTAGGATTAAACAGTTTTTTGTTCAATGCTATGGAAATATTCCAAGATCAAAACACAATACTGAGTTGTGTGCTTGTATTTTTTCCCTCTGTTGCTCACCCTGTGTAGCAGTCTGCACTCTTGGTAACCCCACTGACGAAATTACTCATGAGCAAGCACACACCTTAAAGAAGACATCAGACTCTGTGAATCATTATTTTATACATAATGAAAGCAACAATTAGATTACTACATGCTTGTGCAGGAACGTCACCTATGGAATACACACAATGACCAGCATCAGCTGAAACTGCTGTATTGCAAACAGCCAAGCAGAAAGCAGAGACCCAGCTCTGTTCATCTGTCACGAACAGAGCAAGAGCCAAGTCAATCAGCTTACAGTCTTGATCCTGCGAGTATGTTCTGGTGCAACAGGAACTGCAAGGCCTGTTTGCCGATCCACCTGTGCTGACGGAAACGTGACAGTGATCTCATTCTGTTATTCCCAAATAAGAGCAGACTCATTATATTTATGCAATGTTGTATGAGCTGATCAAATAAATTCTGAAAGTATTCACAGACAGAATACCTCAATGGGCATGGTTCACTTGCTGAAAAATTGCAGTGTCAAGTCCCTGCCCCCATTTCCCTCATGACACAGAATTGTGGCAAATTATTAACTACAAAAAAGTCATTAAGTTGTATAGTTTGAAAAACTGACAATTTCAGAATATTTTTCAAAAACTGTGTGAAAAAATATCTTCAATATCACCAATACATTTAACATAATAGTTCAAGTAAGCATTTTGCTGTGAGAACAAATCATTGTGTGTCAACTAGAACAAGCCCTCCATCCTGACAAAGATACTTAGATGTTAGCACAACACACACACTAATTTAAAGAAACAAAATAAAACTGAACCTTACCCTGACATAACTTAATGGAAGGGGAGTTACACTAATTCTGGTGAAAGAGGCAGGTAATTCTACAAAAACATAAAAAAGATACAAAACATATTTACAACAGAAAAAGTAATTGATATTAGACATAATTTTATATACTTTTCACTTGTAGCTTTTTGCCCAATTGATAAGCCTATTATTTGCATACTTATTAGAATAAACTAATTATTCCTTTAATTTTAAAGTTGTCCGGTATTTAAAAAGCGACCCAGAAGACTCTGACCAGGTCAAGGCACATTCATCTTTTCAAAGGCCTGTTACCTCTGCATAATCAAGAGAGCTGAAAAACTCGGCAACTACAACCCAAGGTCAAGAGCCAGGACAAGGGGAGAATCTCCAGTAGCATGGGGTAACTAGAGGAAAGAAACTCACAAATGCCAGATAAATCTGTACTTTCCTAGGCAACAAAACCTAGTGTCGAATCACGGTGACCCCGGGGGCGGTTTTTCAACTTTCAACAGGCTTACAGCAAGTTACAAGGAAGCAGCAATTATACAGACTAAATTTAGTCGAGAAGCCTTGATATCAGATCTGTGGCAACAGAGGCACCTAGCCAGGCAGTGTGGAATTGAGAAATCCAAGAAAAAAGAGGGATAAAGGAGCTACCCCACAACCAGAGATTCTCGGCAGCAGAAACAAAC